GAAGCCTGTGGTAGCACCTATCGTAGAGGAGCCTGTGCCAGCTGAACCTACTGTAGAACGTCCAGACTTCTTGGATTCCATCAAGCCAGTGTCTCCCCAAGAGCAAGCAGCATCGACTAAAGGCACTGGCAAGCCTGGGAGACCAAAGGGAAAGGCCAAAAAAACAAAGGCAGAGGATTTCGCACAGCAAGAAGCTCCTGAACCCAAGCCTGCACGTGGGAGGAGGTCAAAGCGCACAGCAGCTGAGACAGCAGGAAAAAACACTGAGGAGGGAGGGGCAAAACGGACTAGAGGAAGGTCAAACAGGAAGGTTGAGAGTGAGATAATGCCTGAGCTGAAGGATTCACCAAAGCCATCTTTGAAAGAAGGAAATAACAAGCCTGACTCAGAGAGCGCAGGAAAGCGACGTCGCGTGAGGAAGGCTGACAGCACTCCTGTTGAAAAGGCTTTGGATGCCAAAGCCAAGTCCAAGCCACGCACTAAGAGGGCAGCAAAGAGTGGGGAGACTCCTCAAAACGAAGCAGGCAAAGCAGCAAAGACTAGCAAAAAAGAAGAGACAGCAAAGGAGCCTGCACATGCAGTGAACACTGCAGAGGCAAAGGTGGATGAACGCAAGAAAGCGGCCAAAGCAAAGCTAAGCCGCCGCAGTGCAGCATACCACCGTGCATACAAGCAAGCGATTCAAGACGGTTGCGAGCAACACATTGCCCGAGAGAAGGCTAAGAAAGCTACCTGTCAACACTATAGTATAGTTTTGTTGTCTATTCCAGCTAGGCTGACTTGAAGAGTTTTTTGAAGGATTCTTCTGCTTCATGTAGCAGTACTTCCTCTACCTTTTTGACTTTGCACTTCTGCCTTTTTGAGGCTTATGCTGAAACCTCCTGAGCTGTTGCGAGTGACCTTTCGGGTTGCTATACGGTGTTTTGAGACACCATGGGTTTTGCAGCATGATGCTGCATGCTGGGGTAACACGTGCAAGAGTTGATTGTGCACACTTGGTCAGGGCTGCGCAGGAGCGCCTTGATATCATGTTGTGTCCTTCACCCATGCAATGGACATGGAATAGCACGCGCGGGACATTGACTGCCACTTGAAAAACATGTTCGCAGATCCAAAGCACATGCATCGTTCTTAAAACAAACGTGCAAACTGGATGCTACAAGCATCACGCATGCAATATGGTGTATAGATTCATCCACCTTCCACTTCCCCCCATTTCCGAGTTTACCTGATTCTGTTTCTCTCTGTCCCTTTCATCTGCAGGTGGCAAATGAATGAGGGCTGGGCAATCAGAGCAGGTGCGCAGCCCCTGCTTCTGTTCGCAGATGAGTCGATTGTCACCTTGCACAGTGTTTTTCGGCGAAGGACCGAGCTGGAAACTGCACAGGAGCTGTCTTGCATGACATGCTTTTACAACACCGCAGCTTTTTTGTTGGCTCGGGCTCGGGGAGGTTTTCCAAATCCACAATGGAAGATGATAGCATGGTCGTGAACCTTGCGCAAATGGGGGCGCCAAAGGTGCATTGTGTGAAATGAACGGTGTGCACTATGCGTTTTTGTGTGCATGAGGTCCTGGCACATATATTTTCTATAGCTGGTGAGGTTCTCATCGCTGTGGTGTTGGGGGTGATGTGGATGAAGAACCTTCCAGAGATCAAACCCCGCTACCACTTCTTTGACCTTTTTTGTGGTGATGCCAAAGCTTCCAGTGTATGGCCCCTTGGTTCTTTCAGTACACCTCGCGCCATCTTGATTCTTGATGGACATGAAGTGGTGTTGCGTGAGGTAAATCTTCTAGGTGACACTGCTGTGTTGTTGACAGGCAATCTCATGGGTACTCTGTGGCCATGTATGACAAGCTCATGATGGATGGGCGTGGCATGGACTTTACAACTCCCCCAGGGTTCTTGCGACTTGGATCAACTACAATTATCTAACAGACAGTTGTGAACCTCGGTCTCCAAAAACTATGGCATGTGGATCTAAGGGTGGTGGTCCACACTATCCTCTGTATGGCTCAGCAGGGGGTATGCCTCCTAGGGCCTGACTGTGCCCCTTGGGGGATGCCCGCACGGCACACCTCGCAGAAGTCGTACATCAATGCCCTTGGTGGCATGCACCTGCCGTTTGTAGATGGAGGGAATCAAATGGTGTCTTTGTTTCTAAGCTGGATTTGGGTTGTTGCATGAAGACCTTCTTGAGGGCCCAGTGGTGTACTCTGTTCAAAACATTTCATGCAAACATTTTGGAATTGAACCTAGGGCGACACTTCTATTATATATCTTGGTGGCAAAAAACTGCTACTTTGTGCTGGAGCAGCCAGCTAATTCCCTGTTACAGCGACACAGCCGCTTCGAGAAGTTCTGCAATGTAGTCTGTTATGTGACTTGACAAGGATTGTCAGGTTTCAAGTTAAACACGTATACATGCCTGCGCTTGGTCCCTTCTCTTCCCATGTGTATACGCGTGAGTTCTCAATTGTGTCAGGTGTGGATAGTGAGATTCTGGATGCAACTGCTGGGGAGTGCCTCCGCCAAGCCCACCATCGTCTTCGCAAATGGGCCGTGGATTGCAGGGTTGGACCTGGGAAAGCTGACGAAGGAGTTGAAAAACAAGCTCACCACCATCAAACCCACATGTCAGAACCCTAAGCCTATAAGCTCTCTCCATTTGAGATGGGTTGTAGGTACTTACTACCTGAGGCAACTATGTCCGGAATGGTGTTCGCAAGTTTCATGGAACAAAGCAGTTGAAGCAAACAGGGTCCGAAGCTCAATTCAAAAGAATATGCTATTCAGCCCCCTTAGCCCTTCCTCTTTGACTCTCAGGTCATATCCTTCTGGCTTTGGAAAACAGCTTCTGAAGTGCTATGAAGAAAGGGCATCAATTGAATGCCCTTTACGTTTCAAGAGGACTGTAGACAACACCAAGTCTGACAGGCAAATCTTTGAAGAGATGCCTTTGGGAGATTGCTGGGTGGATTCAAGAATCCATTTGGCATGGGCTTACATCTATTCAAGTAAATATTTAAATGTGCCGGACGCCTGGCACAACACAATCAAGCAATTCAACGCCGAGCTTACTGCTAAGGTCACCGTTCCTGAGGTGGACCGTACAGCTTTGAACAATTTGATTGCTGAAAGCAATGGCAGTTCCTAGTGACCCAGGTTCCCATGTCAGTTGGGGTCACAAACTGGTTGGTGAATTAATGCGAGCTTTCCCACATGTATATTCCTGTGGGCAGTGCTCAACACTAGAGCTTTGAGGAAAAACAAAAACATAGCGCGCGGATTATGTGCGCTCGTTTGTTTTTGTTATATATATAGATCGAAACCTATTTTCCTTGTTTTTTACAAAAACAAACGAGCGCAAATAATCCGCAAAACGAGCGCAAATCCGCGCAAAAAACCGCAAACGGGCGCAAAATGAAAAAAGTGTACCTTCAGCCTGTTCCATGATAGCTATTTGTGGGTCAAAGCTATGTCGTCTGATCGTCTTTCGTCGTCAGCTACTCTTCTAAAGGGCTGTGAGGGTGTAGCGATGGAGTCAACAGCACCTCCAGGGCGATTGAATGAGATTCAGGCTCAGATTAAGGCCCTGTTCTACTGGTTGGCAAAAGTATATGCAATCCTATGTGCTTTTTTT